AAAATATGTTGCAAATTGAAAATAAAAGGTACATACATGCATATATTAACAAAAAAGGGGTAATTTGTGCTAATATATATGTAAACAATTTTCACAATATTTAAGCAGCATGAAGAAAACGAATGCGCGGCAATTTGAAAAAATGGTGCAAATGATGCGGGAGCATCCAGATGTAGCTCGAGGACTTGGTGCTTTCGGGTCCAATAAAAAGGATACAGCAGAGCTGTGGAAACAGCTATCAGTTCAATTGAATGCACTTGGTCCACCAGTGCGTGATGGAAGAGGCTGGAATAAGGTAAGTCAGTGAATTACAAATCTCACTCTGGGGGAATGCTGCAGCCGCCAACATAAACATTTCATTATTCATATTTTAAGGTATGGCTCGACTATAAGTTAAAGCTGAAAAGAAAAATAGCACTGAACAGAAGTGAGACCATCGCTACTGGCGGTGGACCTTATCGCCAGCTGACGTTATCACCTCTCGAGCAGGAGGTTGACTGTCTTCTAGGCTTATAAAGAGCAGCGAATCCTGAAGGCGTAAGTCATGGTGCCAGCAACAGTACCAGTGCTCCACTTGCTTCAGAAAATTGTATTGAAGAGGAAAATCTTCAAAGCGAGGTTGAAGCTACCCCTCGCAGGAGAGTGCGTTCGTCGGTAGTAAATGCGGATGTAAGGGAAAACGAACGAATTGAGATGCTGAAGCAGCAGACGCTTAATCAGGAGAAGTTACTAAAAGTGGTAAGAGGCCTGGGTGAAAAAATGCACGACATTGGAAGATATGCGCGGAAAACTTTTGAAATTTCGAAACAAAAAGAAGCTCGTGAGGAGAGGGAATACTTCGAACGGATCCAGCTGCAAAAGCAAAAACTCGAGCTAAAGCTCCGGGAGCTTGAGTTGAAAGAATTAAAGTATAAAAAGCATTTATAAAAAAATTGTACTTAAATTATCTAGGCTATTTTATTTAACAGTGTTGAATTAAACCAATCCAGTAATTTTAAATTTATTGCGATTTTCTTTCTATATATCGTCACCTAAAATACCAAAAGACGTAAAAAACATCGTCACTGAAATGGAGAAAGATGTGACCAATAATTTTTTTGCATAATTCGATGTGGGGAGTTATAATTCCATGAAGTCCATCACATTAATCAAAAAGTGAATTTTGAATTTTTCAATAGTTGCGACTTTTTGCATTTCAGCGACGATGTTTCTTACGTCCTTCTGCTTTTCAGGTGACGATATGTAGCTTTTTATGCTAGTTATCTTGTATTAAAATTAAATGAAAGCTGCTGGTTAGATTCTGTTTTTAACTTGGACTTCAACACTCTAAAATGAAAAAGGGTACAATAATGCATACAGAGAATTTATTTAATTTAAAAATATCTTTTCTACTAATTATGTAGCCGCCTCTAAATGATGATTTTTATTTAAATTATTTATGAACTCCTTTGTTGAAATAAAATAAGGATTTTATGTAGGATGTAAAACTTGTTTAATGTTTATTAAAATAATGATAACAAAATTTCGCTTCTTCGACGCTCCCCATCATTTGTGGAAGCACGCTCCTCCAATAATTCAGTAAAATCAGATGGTTCTATGTAGTTTTCAACTTCTTCTGGTATTGTCATCTTAAAGTACAAGCATATATTTTGCAAAGCGCAGCAAGCATTAATTATTTTTGTAGCCTTTTGTGGTGAATAATGCAACTTTCTTTCAGTTGAAAGACATCGAAAGCGACATTTTAGAACACCTATTGTCCGTTCAATTATATTTCGTGCTTTGGCGTGTTTTTTATTAAAATAAGATTCTCTACTGCCAGCACTTGCATTCCGAAATGGCGTCATCAAATATGGCTGCAAAGGATACCCCGAATCACCTAAATACATATGTTATATACATTTAAATACATATGTTACCTACAAATTAAAAATTTAGTCCAATGAGGACTTGTTTTTTATTAGTCAAGCTTACCCAAATACATTGAGCAACGATCGCCGTTTCTATGTATCGTTTCTAAAGTAGCTTTTAGTTCACTGCAGTTCCATACAAACGAATCGTGTGTTTAACCGGCGTAACCCGCATCGACATACCTTATAACCATATTATGATCACAAGCCTGAGAAGATGAAAAAGTGTACATATACAAGTCATGTATTTGAANCGCATCGACATACCTTATAACCATATTATGATCACAAGCCTGAGAAGATGAAAAAGTGTACATATACAAGTCATGTATTTGAAGAAGTCATACGTACAACCATTACGTTTAAACTATAAAATCCCTTTCTATTTAAATATTGATGCTTGAAGTGGGACGGAGCAACGATACCTACATGTGTCCCATCAACACAACCAATTACTCCCGGTAATGACGCTTTGGAATAGAAGTTGGTTCTTGCAGCTTGTTTTTCATCTGCAGTCATTTGTATCTGAATCCATTCAGGGCAAATAACACTTTCAAATATATTTAGTATTTCTCTCAACACAACTGACACTGTTGCCTGTGCAAAGCCAATTTCAAAATCATTCCCAATACCTTTTTGGTAAGAGCCATCTGCGAAGAAGCGTAGAACACACGCTAATTTAAGGATTGGAGGAATTGCAGCACTACACATTGAAGTAATTGACGGAGTTATATTTTCCAATAAATAGCTAAACGCTTCTTTACTTAACCGAAAGTAAGATACAAATCTAAAAGTATATTATATATTGAACTGTTCAGAAATAATCCATACACCCGTTCTTACAGTTGATTATTCAACTCGAGCGGATTAGAGATGTCCCGGATACTCCGTCGCAATCTTTGAATGATAAGCTCTTCATTACTGTAGCTGTCCTCATAAAATATATCCACACTACTCATCATTTTGTTTAATTATTTATTTAGGACTTTTATTTATTAAAATTTGAAAAAATTACAATTTGAAATAAATATAGATATTTTAAATTGACGTTTGGCCGGCGTGCGACAGACGTCAATTTCAATTCTTATGTTGGTAACAAGGCGAATGAAGTCGAATCAATTCATTCGCCA